ATAACTCACATTTGAGTTTGCGTAGAGTTTATATATAAACTTTGCCAAAAGTTGCTTATTTTTACAAATTTACTTATTCTACATACCCTATTATCTCAATAACCAGTGATTCATGTTTAATGAAATTTATACCATTGGATTCGTCTAACCTAGAGAAATCTAATAGTAGTAATTTCAGCTTTCTAGCATTAATATTGACTGAGTTATATCATATAATATAATTTTAATTATGTGTTCGTATTACATTTGTGAGTTCTATTAGTATAGTTCAGGTCCTGCTGTAATAGTAGATTTAATTAGCTATCAATCATCTGAAAATTTGCAAGATAAAATGATACTTGGAAAGTATATTATTAGACTAGAGGATATCTCATTAATATCTACCAACTAAAATAATAACAATGGTCAGTAGACCCTAACTGTATTATGGCTTAATCCAAATAACATCAACAATATGACCTATTGAGCATTCTAATATGCAATATCATAATCATCAAGAAGGAGTCAAACTACTTTAAATCAAATAGGTTCAGCAAAAAGTAACCTTACTTTAGCTATAAAAGCAAACTCTATTCCTATCATAAATGTTTTTATTATTACCACTGATACCATCATGAAAACAAACATTAGTATTATTACTAGCATCACTACTACTGAATCAACTACTTATACTACTATGGATACTATTAATACTATTATTAACATCAACACTATCACTTAAGGTTCTCACTACTATTATCATAAGCAATATTAGGTTTTATATACTGTACTATTGAAATGAACTTTTTATGATTTAAATAAAGTATAAATGATTTGTCAAGCTTTTTTTTATATTAACTATTTTTTTTATTAATAATTTAGATCCTAAACCTTTTTTTCTTAGATAATAAAAAAATTTTTTTATTAAGTTTATTTTTTTATTTTAATTTCTATGTATTTTAAGATTAAATATGATATAATTTTTTTTTATGATTTTTCTTTTATGTATTTTAATGTAAATATGATAAATATAATATTTTTTTAGTTTATAATAAAATAAAGTAAATTTTTATATTTAATAAAAAAATTTATTATTTTAACAGATAACAAATAATGATTTTTTATATTTATATTTGTTTTTAATTAAATTTCTGGTTTTATTTTTTTTAAATTTAAAAATTAGAAAGCTAACTGAATTTCTTTTTATATTACTTATTATTTATCAAATAAATTGTAACTAAATTGTGAATTTTTTTAAAATTGCGTTATATATAGTAATTATAAAAATAACAATATAATGTAATACCTTTATTTTTTTAGTTTTTATTTAAATTTTATTTTTTTTATAATATATGTATTATATTTAATAAACTTAAATTACTGTAAATACTAGCTTATATATTCTCATATTAATATTATTTTTATATTTAAATATGTATGCTATCTGTTTAAAAAAATTTTTTTTTTGAAAAATGAATTTTTCTTTTAGATTATAATTGAATAAGTAAAATTATTTAATTATTTTAATACAAAATAAAAAATAATAGCTCATCAAATTCATAACACATTGTTATCAGCTAAAATTCACTATTAAAAAGTTGATCCACAAAGAATTATTAAATGATTTACAGAAGTTACTGGAATTAATTTTATGTCGATTATAAATTAAAAGATCTGCATAATTCTGGATTTTGATGATTCTTAGGAT